GTGAAAGGACTGTACCCCTTTAGTGAATGACCCCCCGGTCTATTTTGGGCCATTTTCACCAAGTGGTGGTCTATTAAATATTATTATAACTCTATATATATGTATATATATATATTGTAAAAGCGAGTGTTAGAGAGACTTTTGGATCTTAACTCCACGTGTGCAATGACTGATCAGGTTTTACATTCTCTAAAAATGTGTACAGTTTTTGGGTATAAATAATGAATAACGATCCCATTATAGAAATACTGAATGCTATATACTAATAGTAGACCCATTTAGGGTAGTGTGTTATAACAGTGTATTGAAAAGCATAGACAAAGCATAGAAGCATAGAACAGCTACACATGTATTAATTCTTCATGTGATGGAATGTGGGTTCCTATAGTTTCATTATCTCATCTGTTCAAAATGACAATTTGATGCAACACAAATGATCATTTCACTCTCATCGATTAAATGACTTTTAATGTCAAAAGGTTATTGGAAACGTTAACAAAAGTCAAAAGAAGAAAGTATGGAATTGATGATTCCTCCAATAGCATGACATAGTTTCAGTGGTATGTAAAAGAATGATCTCATTGCGGAGATATGTAAAACCAAAATAATGACACCCTGTAATGTGGAATAGCTAAGCACTCCGTTAAAATGATACTGTTGTAAAACTACGATGGGAGCTGCTGCAGAACCTCTTAGGTGGTCGGTCCCCAATACATGGTCCTGCAGCCATGGTGAAGTCTATATCAAGTCAGCATCATGTGTATCTTTAATGGCTTTAATATCAAAGAGCATAGCCATGTCCCAAAATTGTTTTCATTTCTGGCATAGTTCTGCTCACAAGTCATACATTCTGGAACTATTTCCTTTTCAGTTAAAATAAACTCAGACTGAAACACAAATGAGCTGATGGCAGAATTCTGGGATAATATTCACCAGAGTCAATCAGACATTTTCCTTGTGGAAAGAAGCTTCTCCTGGCTGAATCTCAGTGTAGATGACCCAATATTGTTTATAGACACACACATGTTCCTCTGTTCTACGAAGTAACTAATTACTGGCTGTCATAGGTGATTATTAATAATGTATATTTTTAAAGGATCAATTTATATAGACAGATCTGAGGTTTTATATATTTTTATAATTATATAAATAATATAGTACATGTATGAAATATCACTAATCACTGATATATATTGACTATATATTGACTCCCCTTACCCACAAAAAAATAAAATAAAAAACAT